AGAATTTATTAAAACAGATCATCTTACAGAGGTGGTCGGCTTTTTTAGGGGTGTCGGCTTTTTCCGGGGTTCACTGTAAACATATGACAAATCGATTTTTGGCGTTTTCTTTTGCCTCATTAGTCAAAATGGCATGAAATTTAGACCAATCAAATTCTCTTCATTTTTGCTCTCGATAGCACATGAATTCCCGCGCCAGGGTTGCCGAGAAAATCAAATCTGACTAGAAGTAGGTTTTAGGTTAGGAAAGAAATATATGACACACATGAAGCCAGTTGCTGACTTTGATACGCACTGAAACGCGCCTACACAGCTCTATTCAGGTAAGAGAACGTACTAATGTGCTCTCTTGCTCACCAAAGTGCCAGTCACGATGCCAAAAGGGCCCCCATTGACCGACGACGAAAAACTTGAGATTTTGCTGCTCTCAAGAGAAGGACAAAGCGAAACGAGCATCGCGAAGGCCATGCGGAGGTCGCGCGGTTGTATTCACAACTTTCTGGCTAGCCCCAACACGTACGGGACGGCCAAGAGCTCTGGATAACCACCAACATTGAGCACCGCCATGCACCGCCAGCTTCTTCGAACCGCAAAAACCGGAAATTTTACTGCGACCGAGCTTGCTGAAAAGCTGGACCTCGACATAGGACGTCGACGAGTCTGTCAGCTGCTCAACAAGAGCGGTCAGGTAAAGTACAAGAAGAAACTCGCAGCACCAACGAGAACGCCACTACACATGAGAAATCGTGTTGAATGGGCGACTGAGGCGCAACATTGGGTTGATCGGTTTGAAAAAATAGTTTGGTCAGATGAAAAGAAATGCAACCTTGATGGTCCCGATGGTTTTAACTATTACTGGGCAGCCATGGACCGACCAATGGAGCACCTTTCCAAGGACCAAAATGGCGGCGGGTCAGTGATGGTCTGAGGGGCGTTTTCGAGCCAAGGCAAGTCAAAATTGGTCTTTTGGAAGGAAGACAAGATTCAGAAGCGTATATTTATACGTACGCTATCTGAATTTTTACTCCCATTCGCACACCTGAAGCATGGCAGTGACTGGGTGTTTCAACAGGACAATGCGTCAATCCACACTACCAAGTCTGTTGCGGAGTGGTTTGAAGAGCCACAAGTCGCTATTACAGCCCTCAAGTGGCCGGCCAAGTCACCCGACTTGAACCCAATCGAAAATTTATGGGGAACATGTCCCGGCGCGTTTACGATAACGGCCGACGCAAGTTCAAGTCCCGCCAAGGGTTGAAGGCGTGTATTCTTCAAGTTTGGGATGAAATTGGCATTGAAGAGCATCAAAAGCTCGTCGCGTCAATGCCTAAACGCTGTGCTGAAGTAGTTGCTACAAAAGGTCGCAAGATTTCGTATTAATTGCATTAATATATGTGTTTCTTTTTCATGTCATATCATTATTTCTCGACCTGATTCAAACTAATTGTATAATGACACAGCAAATCATACAGTGAACACTCGGCACAAACTGCATTGCGTTTAGGGACACACCAGAGACCTAAGAAGTGCAGGATAATCATTGTTTTACGCACGAAGTAGTGTAGCTATCAAATAATCAAGCTGTCATATCTTTATTGCCACAACTTTAGGTGCCTAAAAAAGCTCAATTCGTCGCATCCAATTGACACGAATACACAAAAAACGAGTTCAATCCAGACGAGCAAGTTGACATGAAAATTCAATACTCAAATAACGATAAAAATTTCGGACTCTACCAAATTCATCCGAAATGCAGGAATGACGATCACTTTTGGGCGGCAAATCAAGGCGCGCATCGCAGATTTTTTATGAAAGAACTTACGTCCGATCAGCGCCGCGCTGTCGTGGACCATCTGCTCCTTCGTGTGGTAAAGGCCCCATGTCAGCTTCACCATGGAGCCATAAATGAGGTGGCCTAAATCTTTGGTCGAAATCGCCATACCATCGACGAAATCTGGAAGCGCGCCAACGTATTAATCGGTGTGGACGGCCAACCTGGGCATGAGATAGTGTGCCAAGACATCTCTTCTCTCAAGAAGAAACGCGTCGGTCGAAAGCAAAAGTACTCAGACCTTCGAGATCGAATTCGCGCGATATCACCACAGCGTCGGACAACACTCCGGTACATCGCGCATGCCGTCGGCGTCCCTGCGAGCACGCTCAAAGACTACTACAAACGCGGTCTCATGGTCAAGCATAATTCCCACATTAAACCAATGCTAACGGATGCAAACAAAGTGGCCAGGGTAAAGTGGGCCATGGACTTCGTGCGCCCCAAGATAAAGTCGCGAATGTACCTGCTGCCGGGTGAAGACCCTCCCCATCGCTCCACCCAGAGCAAATGTTTTATTAAGAAAGTGATGTTCTTATCCGCCTTGGCACGCCCAAGATGGGACGACGACAAGGCCGACTGGTTCGACGGCAAAATCGGAATCTGGAACTTCACGCAAGTTGTCCCCGCCACCCGATCGTCACGCAATCGTCCCGCCGGCAAACTGGAACTCCGTCCAATCAACGTAACGCGCCCTGTGTACAAGAAGATGCTGATTGAGCACGTCATCCCTGCTATCCAGGCCAAGTGGCCAGTGAACAGCACCCGTTGTGTCGTCATCCAGCAAGACAACGCACGACCACATGTGCCATCGAGCGACCAGGCGGTATTGGAGGCTTGCACGTCCAACGGTTGGTTTATTCGCCTTCAGTGCCAACGCCGAACTCGCCGGACATGAATGCCCTCGACCCCGGCTTTTTTCGCTCCATTCAGTCACTACAACAAAACCATCACTCGAACACGTACGAAGAAATCGTTGCCGCGACGAACCAAGCGTGGCACGACGTCGACCCATGGTCGTTGGAGCAAAACTTCCTGACGCTGCAGTGCTGCTTTAGCGAGGTCATCATGAGCGCCGGAGACAACTCGTGCATGGTGCCACACATAGGGAAAACGGCACTCAAGAGGTCAGGGCTCCCACCTGAGACAGTCGCCTGTGACCGCGAGGTGTTCGACGCAGGGTGTGCTTTGATGAGCCAGCATGATCTTCAGAAGGTCATGCATGACCTTGCCGTCGAAACAGTCGCCGAGTTGGAGATGATCGACATCTTTTCTGCTATGGAATCGCTTGGGATCAATGACGAGGACGTCGAAGTAGGAGTGTAGGTTTCGACACAAGAATCAAATGAATGTGAGTTTATGTATGGAATGCCAGTAATTAAAAATATTTCTAGTTCTTATTTAATTATAGAGGTGTCATTATGGTTCAGTGTATTTGTTTATTGTATTTATGGGGGATGTCAAATGGCTGCTCTATTTCCGTCTTTCAACAATTTTGATATGGCTGGTCTATTTCCGTCTGGAGGTAGTAGTTACCGTAGGTTTAGTTCAACATGATATTGGATTTTACTGTATTCCCGTCATAGTCAGCTTTCGGTAGTTGACAACTATTGTCGTTTTTGGCGAAAACTGGTCTTTTCACTTCATTGTTGTAAACAATGAGTACATCTCAAACTATTGGCGTAGCCAATCACATCGCGTTGCATGCTTCCCACGATGTCGGACGCTGCCGACCCGAGGCTGATTCGCGCTGTTGACCATGCGTCAGAGAACACAAAAGTACTTTGACTTTACGGCTACTTCATGCTTGGTCTGTCCAAGACGTACTTGGCGACACTTTATGCCAAGCAAAAGTCAACAGTCGCTGCATGGACCAACCAGTTTGAGGCCACTGGTACAGTCGCACGTACCAAAAGTGCGCAACGAGCCTTTCGAAAGCTCGACATGCTCTGAAACTCCTCTACAGACGAGACCTGGCCCGACACTTCGTCGACTGGGAAACCTGAAGATTGACCGCGGAAGTTGTACAACGTGGCCGTCATGACAGGCATTGTGCCGCCACTATCGTGTGAGCTATTCATGAATGCAAGCCGACAGTGGTGGACGCTGTGATGTTTTGTAAACGCGTTAAGAACGCCTTGAATCAAGTCATTTGGAATTTGTATGTGCAAAATGTTGCGTCAATTGTTCTGCGTCAGAAATATCTTCGTTGAAGTCCAGTTTTGAACTAACGCAACAATACAACATTTACCATTATTTGGTATGTTGCGAAACAACTGCGAAATCCTGTCACACATGATATCCACAAATTAGATGCGTGAGGTGATCAAGATGATTTTTGCACAAGTGGTCTGTAGGTGGTGCGGCTATGTGCTTTTGCGGGTGGTGCGGCTCTTGGTGGTGCAGCGTGTGCGCGTAGTGGTGGCTCCGTCGCGGTCATGTGAGTGTTCGGGGTGGTGGCTCTGTCGCGGTGGTGGTGGCGCTGCGTATGTTCGGGGTGGCGGCTTTGTGGCAGTGCTGTATGTGTTTGGGGGTTGCGGCTCTGTCGCGGTGGTTCGTGTGTGGACACTACTAGTGTGTAGTGGCTCCGTCGTGGCGCTGCGTGTGTTCGGGGTGGTGGCTCTGTGGCAGTGCTGTGTGTGCTGTGTGTGTGCTGTGTGGCGGCACGTCCCAGTGCTGTGTGTGTACTTCATCTCTGCAGGGAGTTGGTTCCGTCATGGCGCTCGCTGCGTGTGTTCCCAGTGCTGTGTGTGTGCTTCATGTCTGCAGGAGGTGGTTCTGTCAAGGTACTAGTCAATATCCATAACGATATGAAAGTTACGTTTGCTTAATCCTGCTTTTGTCGTGCTTTGTTTGCATCGTACAATGTGACGTAGCTCATTTCGTCGACGTTTCTGCGACTCCACTCATCGGCGGCGATGTCCCCGTACAACCACACACACGCGTAAAGGAAGCAAAGCTTGAATGCTTGATTGAACTCGGCCGCTGACATGCATTCAAATCGTTGATTGGCGAGACGCGAGCGGGAGACTAGTATCTTGAGCAAATCCCATGACTTGAGTGTGCGCAAGGGGCAATTTCTTGAGTTGGGATTCCGAGCCACCACAAATTCCATAGGTCGCTTGTTTTGCACTTGGGAAATACAAAACCTGGCGGGGCATTGTGAATTTTTCCATTCCATGTCCAAATTTTCAAGCCAGTCTCGGGCACTGGAGGATCTGGAACCACGTCTTTGGGAGCATTGGGACTTGGGCAAGTGGCGTGACACTGCTTGTTCTCGGCGAGGTTGGCTGTCGTTTGGATTCGCTCGTCCACCATGGACCAATTCAAAGCAATAGGTGGTGACGAACTCAACGCTGCTGCGACGCTGGAACTCAAAGCCTCCGGAAGCGTGGAGAGACAGCTGATGATTGTGGCGGTCATACTCGTGAGGCCATTCTCAACTCTTTCCAGCCGCTGACTGAGCGAAACATGGGGGAGAATGCCGGTCGCAACCATGCACGTCGCCGAGTTCTGCATTGATCCAAGATGAACCAGTGGTACCAGCTTGGTCATGAGGCCCGAGGTCCCCAGAAGGGAGTAAAATCATGGGTGAGATTGGTCGAGAGTGTGCTGGAGCCATGTGCGATGGTGCACGATCGATGCCAGCAAAAACGGGAGGGCCACTCTAAACGAGGCAGGATAGAACGTAGTGTACCCTGGCGTGACGGATTCCCATTCTTCGAGGGAAAGGACAGCACCAGTAAAATGAGGAGGTAGCACGGCAAAATCCACGCTGTTCATGTTGAGACCTGAGGCATGGCAACTATATCATTTCCCAACATATTCAACAACATTATCTGCAGCAGCACGGCCGACGTGTTGATCTCTACCCGCTCCAGCAAAACTATAGAGCTTTTGAACGCTGCCGAGGCTCCAACCCGCACGTAGCCACACCGACACGGATTGTGGACCACCGGGTGTATTCGACAGCGCTGTCGAAGCACCCTTCCGAAAGGAATGTGTTCCAACGTCCTCGAGCGACAAACCCATGCTCACGATTTCCTCGCGGTTGGCCAAGCACGTGCGTGTCACCCACGATGCGAACTGCTCCTTCCAGTTGGGGCCGAATATCAGTGTTGACGTCCCGTCTCGGCGGGCACCTTTAGTAAACGCCAGGATAGCTATGCTAAAGCAAATTGATCTAATGACACATACAGATAACATCACAGTATACCTCAACACAGCGCAATTGGAATGATCAATTGGATTGGCATAAACGTGCTTGGGATAGCACGTCGAGCCATCCTGGTCATTCTTCATTCGCCCAAATTTGATTGACATTGCATCGCCTAGTCGAGTAAGACATCATAAACTTGTCAAAGCTATAAGAGAAAATGACAAACCTACCTTCCCATTTGATGTGGTCAAACCTAACCGATGCTATGGACGCAGAACGCGCCATGAGATTCCACGAGAGGAGCAAGAACGGGTGAACACATGCAAATTGAGCTGCGTGCTTCGCGTTCGCAACTGATTTGCGAGCTAAGTAGATGAAACCTAAAATTCACACTTCAGAATATAAATCAAAACACGAACATACCTTCACGGCTGATCGGCCTCTGCCATAGAGATCGCCACATCCTCTTTCAGTTGAGCAACATGCCGCTTGTATCCATTAGCAAACTCTACGAGCACATAAGATCACACAAACAGTACTACAGCTTACGCGCAAGAGTTGATTCCAACTCGTTGGAGACATCACACTTTCGTTCAGTGTACAGAAACTTGATGGCACTCTTGTACCCGTTGATTGTCGAGTACGAGTTGTGGCGACGGAGGGTGACCTCCTTACCCGAGGAGTCTCGTTTGACAGAGACGTACTGTACGTCAAGTCGGCCTGACACACACATGTTGGTAAGGGTAGGCATGTCTCGCCACCAAGAATGGGCGATGGGCTCTTCGCAGTCAACCATCGCTTGAAGCGAGTTAGCATGGTATTGTATTGAGTTCGAGTTCTACTCACGATACGGAGCTGCATGATGTGGCTGCCTGTATCGCTTGCCGCGTCTTCCGCATCCTCCTTGTGGATCATGGTGTTCCAAAATGACGAAACCCATCTTGTCAAGAGACTCTGATTGGCCAATTTCTTACGGATAATGAGTTTCGACGATGTTTCGTGATCTCGAACTATTCGCAAGATAGTTTGGCTTGAATACAAATCTCAAGTGACGAATATTGGTTTCTTCTGGATTCCAAAACTCGTGCGAAACAAATAGTTTCGTGACTCGATCAAATATCCGGTATAATGTTTCGCCACCCACAACTATTTACCTATAGTTGGCGCCTGGGGCACCTTTCACGCAATACTGTTGAAGCAGATAATCCTACCTACTTGGTGATGACTTGGAATTTGGTCGCAGGGGGGATCGAGGTATACACTTAAATTTGTATTGAACGTTGTCCGATCGATCATATATTATATTTGGAAACGTTGCTGATAGGAGTGAGAGTATAGTTTTGTTTTTTCTAAATTGGAAAGCCATGCAGATCGCATCAAACAAGCTTATGAGCAGAAGAATATAGGTGTATAGAGAGATAAGAAGCAAGCCAATAAATACTCAAGAATCCATATACGTGGACCAATAATAAAATCGCCAACTTCAAGATGACGATTCCCTACTGACTAATGCCAAAGACAAAGTGCTCCCCACGATTACTACATCGCACCTCCAACCCCGAGACGCTGACACAATGGACAAATTTAAAGCCAAGGTCAAGCAGCGCCAGCAGAAAATGCACTTCAGCAGACGGAAATTTTGGACCCTGAACAGTCTTCGCCCAGTGAACATGCAGCCGCACAGTTGTAAAAAATTATACCCGTGACTTTTTGAATTCTGTCAAAATTGTTGTTCGGACCCCGTTTAGCAGTCGGGTGGAAATCACAAGAGGGTTTGCAACAAAAATATTCCTGAAATTTCCATTACAGTTGTGGACAAAGTAAAAATGTGTATTGCAATTTTCAAAAGTACGCAACATGTGGAAAAACATTTTCATGTCCAAGTGTGGCCAGGTAGAAGCCAGCAAATTATGACAGAATTTAGGGACACTTGCTACTTCGAATTCGTCAAATTAACGAAGGATGATTGGCTGAAGAACTTCGAAATTCGTAAAATTGCAAAGAACAACTTCGTTGCTTTTCCCTATTTCAATCACATCAGTATTTTGAATGAAGGGTTGATTAAGCGCTTTTAAGCACAAGCGTTTGACAAGACAGCGCAATGGTTGAACGAGTGGGTTCGTAGGAGAGTCCCGGGTGCTAGTCCTGGGTTCGTCAACTTTACGGGTTGGTTTAGTCATGAACCAATTGCGAACCTTGCGGTCGATGGCGAGTGCGGAGTGGTCCACCAAGTATTGGTCGTGTATCGAGGACCTGTTCAACTTGAGAAGTGACCTCGTCAACGCTGGGGCATTCTACACGGCCAAGTCGTTGTTGTGGGCGCGATGCTGCGACATTATCGATGCTCATCACGTTCAAATCAATCCAAATCGCAATGCCTGCCCAACGTCGAAATTGAAGCACGTTGTATCAAAGTGCGCCGACCGTGACCAACGACTGATGGAACATTGTCAAATCGTTTTGGCTGAATTCATGGACGTTACGCGGTCAAACGAAATCAAGGGACATAGTCGTGAGCTTGAAGAAGCGTCAGATAAAGGGCTCCTGCTACATCAACATCTACTGGGAAAGACAGAATGCAACGCCCACCGAAGAATTTTGTGACTTACCTAGAGTTTTATCCAATTATATTGCATTTTAATTATACCGCAATGTAATTGGCGGAATTTTTTATGATCGCGCCAGCGGGATTTTCAAAAGGTACATAAAAAATATGAGGCGCTCATCCTACCCGATTTCAACGAAGCTCAAGGCTATCGGTCTCCTAGAGACGATGTCTGGTCGCGAAGTTGCTCATATCCTTGGTGTACCTCGCCGCACCATACGAACATGGCATAAACAGCGAGATGAGCTCTTGTCGTACGATGGCGACAAGAAACGCCGGAAGATCGAACCAGGCTGTCGATGTGAAGCATTTCCCGATCCACCAGGTTTATCGAGTTCATTAAGAATGTTAGAGATGACGAGCGTGCACTAACTACCACTCACATGATCACGTGGATCAAGCTAAATCAGCGAGAATGGCTGATGTCCTACCTGGCGACAAAGAAGACGACAACAGCCTACGCCTCGCTCCTCAAACTTCTTCAGCGATTTTGCTCTCGCCACAGATTTTCTCGTCAACGACCTACGGAGGGTAAGCTCAAACAAACCGTGCTGACGGAAGTCCACGAGAATTTAGCCAAGGAATTTTACCGTGAATATCGCCTCTACGACAAGGACAGCGTATTCAACGTCGATTAAACGGGGATGTACTACAACGTACCTCCCAGCTTCATTGGGGCTGTTCGTGGCGGCAGCTCCAAGATTTCCACGGGCGAAAAGCACTCAATGCGCATGACCGCGGTGCTTACAGCCAAAGCAAATGCTGGGAAATTGCCTCAGTTGATCATCATGCGTGGCGTACCTGGTGGGCGGATTGAAACTAGTGATTTCCCTACGTTTCCCAAGGAAGCCCGTTACGCGATGCAAGAGAATGCCTGGATGGATGCACGCGTGGGGGCACTTTACCTGCGTGATGTTCTTTGTCGTGGCATTGAAGGCCCTTCGGTTGTGCTCGTCGACAACTTCGAAAGCCACGTCTCCGATGAGTCCTACAAGATTATGTATGAAGAACTTGGAGCTCACCTGAGCACCCTGCCACCAAACGCACCTTCAGTTTGTCAGCCCTTGGATGTTGGCGTGATGGCACCCTTCAAGCGCAACCTACGAAACCTGTGGCTGTATGAGAAACAAGTGGTGGGGGAAAACGATGATCCGTTCTCACCTACCTCGCAGCAGAAGCGCTTGGCCATGGTGAAGCGTGTCATCGCTGCCTGGGACTTGGTGTCTTCTGAAGTGATTCGTCAGAGCTTTGAACGTGCTCTTCCAGATAATTGACTAATATACATTGGTTTGTATTTTTATTACATACAGTTTCTAAATTGTAAGAGATTTTATTGTAAAAAATTCGACGCGCCCAGGACTCGAACCCGGGGCACACTCAAAACAAAAGATATTTGACAAATACTTAAAAATTTTGATTATTTTTTGTTTTTATTTTTTCAAGACACACAACGTGGTAATCCACTGCGCTATCGCGTCGAACGCTTATAGTGAACCGGGAAAAAACTCGCAAGGGTTGTACTCGCGAGTATTTTGAAGTTTGTATGCATCGAGTTGACGCACGGCCAGCGAGCGAAAAATATTCATGGATGATGGTACCCATCCAATACTGATATGAGGTCACTGATTGGCCAACACAAGATAGAAAATATGCAATTTTTATTCTTGACAAAGACGGGGATGGACCGAATCCTCAATCAATTGAAGTGATCAGTGTCCTTATTTTGCAAGCAAGGCTGGCATAGGATACAGTCAACCCCGGAAAACTGACACCACAAAAATGCCGACCACATCCAAAACATGATCTGTTACATAGAATTCAATCACCTGTACTATTGTTGGGGTCAATTGGGATCGCGCATGGGCAATTCGGATTGTAATATAAATATGATAGAATACGAATATCAAGATACTAAGATGAGTGGCGTGTAGGCTGTGAGAGCAGCAGTATTTAGCACACTTCAGGGCACATTTAGCATGAGTGTGCGACGAGTTATGAAGAAAAACGCCAACTCTCAGCAGCCGAAAAGTACTTGGTTGTAAAATGCCATGAATACTTTATGAAGCTAAAGGCTACAACTACGGGTCCACAAGCACCCGTGCGACAGAGAGTGGCTGAATGCCTCGGCTTCTCAACGAACACCATCAGCCGAATCATAACGGAGTGGCGGCGCCACAAAGAACCATCCTTTGGAGAAGGAAAATTGCAAGTCGAGAGACCCAATAAGGGGCATCGTCCGCGCTCGATCGCAGAAACCTACTCGGTGAGATTCGCTAGTTCATACTAAACTCCAACACAAACTGCCTACCCGTAACTGCAATGACCATTTGCAACCACCTGGACGGCAAATATGACTTGCCCGTTGCCGTCCGTACCATGAGGCGAGTCCTCAGTCGCCTTGGCTACCGCTTTCAAAAGGGCCGCAGCCGATTCTACCTCGCAGAGTCAACCGCCAACGTGGCTTTCAGGGCAACGTATCTTCACAAGAAGTTGTCCAACAGGACATTGAATGGTTCGCCTGTTGTACCCGAAGTATTCTTGGACGAGTCCTACTGCAAAGTCAACCATGCTCCGCCGAAAACATGGGTGGATGAGACGAGAGAACGACGTACTCGCTGTGGAAAAGGCCGCCGCATCTGCATCGCCGGCGCCGGTGTGATCCTCCGAAGCCCTGGACGCGGTCTCCGTGGCGAGTGGGTACCGAGCTCTCTAAAGCTTTGACCATCGGATCGAAAACCGAAGCGTAAACATGACGAATTGCACAACGTTGACGATGATTACCACGGCAACTTCAACAGCGTGTTGTTCGAGCAGTTGTTCGAGGGTCTTTGCCAAACCCTTCGCGACAAATACGGCTCCTGTCATATCAACATGGATGGGGCAAAGTACCACAAGCGGAATACGGTGTATGTACGTACCGACAAAGCCGAAGCGAAAAGCGGACAACCAAGAGTGGCTACGCGGCAAGGACATCGCGTATGAAGCTTACATGGTGAAGGCCGAGCTGTTGGAGTTGGTCGCGCGCAACCGGGGTAAGCCGGTTTATTCGTCGCAGTTGATCGCTACAAAAAACTACGGTCACATTCTGTATTTCAAGCCGCCTTACCATCTTGAGCTCCAGCCGATCGAGCTCGTGTGGGGGATGGTGAAGAACCGCGTGGCACTGCGTCCATCGAAGAACGTCGCGGAGCTCGAGGAACGTCTATGGACGTTGTTTGGAGAGGTGAACAGTCATGATTGGGTGTCGTCCTACCGCAAGGCGCAGAACTACGAGGATAGATACGAGGCACTTGATGAAGACGTTGCCTTTGTCTCGAGCGGCGAGGAAGAGGATAGCTTCGGTGGGTCTTCCATTGGCAGTGATTAAAACGTTGTTTAACCTGATGCGTTTTTATATAAAACCTTCCATATTACCTATACTTCACCTAAGCCTGATTAGTTTTGTCCAATCAGTTGTCCTAAAAATAACACTATACTCCAACTGGTGATGTTTTTCACTTGCCGTTTTTGTACGGTGTAGTAATATTCCTTGCCATTCTGAAAGCGACTTGTTGGCGATTTAGTCGCATCAGAAATTGTTTGACGATTTTATATCATCGTTTCGTCGAAATTGGACATCTCCTTGAAGAGTTATGAGGTCTGGAATGGTAACCGATCCCAATTGGCCTTGACAATAGACCTCGTGTTCAATTACTCAGGTCTTTGTCAGTGATTTCGATGTCAAGTGGATATTAGTACATATCTGGAATAAAATCAAATAAATGCGATTGGATTGGATAAAATCCGAATATCGCAGTGAATGACGATGAGTACGACCAACTGCTCAAAGACTGAGTCAATGAAGAATAAACCATATCGAAAACAATATGACAAACCTATTCCGCATATACAAGCTCCCCGACAGTACTCTACACGACTTGAGCTAAGCTACGCCTCTACACATTCAAGATAGCGCGGCGTCGTAACTCACAATCAAAAACTCTTCATCAATCTCATGGACTCCATTGCAATCGTGACGCGCCTCCAACAACAAGTCGATGACGACACCCACGCTCTCAACGAGTTGAGTACGGTATACCAAGCTCACTCGCAACAAGTGGAGGAAGCCGATGATACGCCCACGCCAGTGATCGACAGCTTCTTCAGTCAAGGAGGCAACGCAGCCCTCACAACCATGTCGAACTTTACTCTGGCCGAGATTGAAACAATTTGGGCCGTAGTCGAACCCGCCATGGTGACAAGCTGGACTATGGGACGAGGCCGCAAGTCAAAAACCTCACCAAAGGATGCATTTTTCATGCTCCTGTCTGTGCTGAAGCACTGCAACGCTTGGGACAAACACGCCCTCGACTTCAACATGAAGGCTCCAACATTCGAAAAGATGATCCAGCGTGTAATTGACATCTATGTTATGCCTGTCAACATGACCCGTCAAGTCCAACAAGGAAAGGCTTTTGCCAACTTTCCGTCTGCACTGTATTGTACGGATGTCAAGTTTCAGCCCTCGTATCGACCAACTGGACGTTTCGACGAAGCCAAGCACTACTTCTCGGGAAAGCACAAGCTCTACGGTCTGAAGCTCGAGTACTCCGTTGCCTACCCCGGGGTTGCAGTCGATATATCTGACCACACACCAGGATCAGTTTCTGATTTGACCATTTTCAAGCAACGTCGGAATATCCACCAAGAAATGCTTCGGAAGTCTGCGCCCGAACTGGACACGGTGGACCACGACGAAGGTTCCGACGAGTACCCAGACTCGTGGAGTGTCCTTGTGGACATGGGCTATCAAGGGTTAAGAAGTGAGGTTCGAGCAATTCACCCAACTCGAAGACCCCAAGGTGGACTCCTCTCAGCCCGAGAGCTGGAACGAAATGGGCGTGTGTCTTCCGACCAGGTTCTCGTCGAGAATTATTTTGGTCGGATCTGCAGCCTTTGGAAAATTATGCGCGAGACGTACAAGTGGAACGAAAACCGTTTTGACGTTGTCTCAAGATTATGCTGTGCTCTCACCAATGCACATGTGTCGTGGATGCCGCTACGAGGTACTGACGGAATTTACTATCATGGTGTTTTGTCTCGCTACAGCAGCATGTCAAATGAGGCGGCAAGAAAGCGCAGTCGAGCGCAGGCTCAGTATCGTGCCCGTCGTGCAAGGCATCTGGAGCTCACGTCGCCTCAAGTTGATCGACGACGGTCGATTTTCTAGCTGGAGTTTTTGGATTTGACATTTTTTACAACGAAGAATTCAAAAAATTGATACATAGAGGGATTTGAACCCAGGTCGCACACTTAAAAGTACAACCACTTAGTGCCTTCTGCTACAGAATTCAGACAAATGGGTGGCAAAAATGGAATTTCGAGGTGGTGTCATCGCCAG